GCTGCCTTGCATGGCAGAGTTGGTACTTTCTAAGCATTTCTTGAATAAAGTGGAGAAACACACATTGCACACACTAGCAGTTTATTTGTTGGATGTGACTTCCATATGAAAAACGTGGCGACTTCAAAAAATTAAACACCTTCATTATATTGAGCATCTTAAAAATCTATGAACTGGGGGAAGAGAAATGGTGGATTACAAAACTACTCCAAGAAAATCATTGGGTAGTACTTGCATGTTTTGAAACAACACACTGTACCCCAGAAATATGTACAAATGTTAAAATGATTTTTTTAAAACCATTTTTAATTAAAAAAAAAATCTATGAACTACCCAGCTATGAGCCTGGAAAGAAGGCAAAATGGAAAAGTAATTCATATCCTTTCTATTCTCAATTCCACTCAAGGAGTCCAATTTAACTCATTACCTGGAGGACAACAATGCTCTCTCTGCTCCCTGAGATAGTAGCAAAACCCCCCCAGTTTTGTGCCCACTCCCAGCTGGCAGCCAGTCACAGCTTTCAGGGCCAAACTTTTATTTATGTTTTTGGCACCTGGCCAGTACAGAGGTCCGAACCCATGACCTTCATGTTACAAGGCTGTGCTCTAACCAGCTGAACTAACTGGCCAGCCCTAGGGCCAAATTGTTAAAGGTGTGAGATAGAAGTTGAAGTGGTAGAAACCATCACTACATGCTAAATAGCTAAGGAGATTGTTAAAGGAGAAGTGGCAAAAAGTGACACCTGACGTGCACAGATAACACACAGACTACCGCATGCGCACCACAGAGTCTGCTGGTGCCGAGATTCCACCACCCAGCGCTCATACACCCAGCCCCGTTCCCAACACCCAGCCTCCCTGCCCAGTGCTATTCACTCATTCCTTCACTGCCCTTTTCCTGATCCCTTTTACATTTTCTAGTTTCCCTCTTTTCATCCTTTTTCCTTTTCACCTGTTCCTCATATCTCAACAGGTTCCCTGCCTGCTCTTCACAAAGAACCGGGCACATATTTCAGTATTTGAGGCAATTCATAAGTGTCATGTTTCCTTTTAAATCTCCTGATGTGTTACTTTACAAATAAAACTGAAAAAATTTGAGTCTAGGCCTTAGAAATTTTTTCCCCACAGGTCTGTCGTTGTTACATATTTTAAATGGTGCTATGACTTAAGGACTATTTGTTCATTTATATGATGATAAGGAAAGACCTGTCAGCCCAATAAATCATTGATAAATCTCTGCAGCAAAAACCCCCATCTGTACGAGCTTCAGTGCCTACTTCCACTGCAGACTTCTTCTGTGTCAAGTAAACAGGTTCCTAGTTTCATGTTTATCGTTGCACACATGTGGCTGTAGCTGACAACAGCCACTCCATGTCTTCCCTGCTAAGAGAAGTTGGATAGCGTGTGGTCCAGCAGGTGAATCACAACCAGTCATGTAAATCCATTTCTCTCTGATACATATTCACCTTCTCAGCCTCCCTTGCAGCTAGAGAAACATAAAACATCCTGGAACAGATTTTTTTTTCTCCCTGATAAAAACAAAAAAAAAGCATGCAAAGATAATTCATGCTCTCCCCACCCTCATACTTCCTGCCTGTGACATGGCTATGTGAAGATACAAAGCCAGGCACCACAG